TTCCGCGGAAGCCGAGCAAGCTCTCCGCTCCACAGCACGAACGCTTTTTCCGACGTGGCTTCCCCACTCGAGACATAGTTGTCACACGTCTTTTGAATCCTCTTCCACAGTTCCTCCGGCGGGGGGTACACCTGCGCCTGGAAGATGAAGATGGGCATTATGTACGCGTTGACCACCGTCACTCTTGCCGCTGTGAGAAGATGGTGACTCTCCCACTTAGCCAATTCCTCTTTCCCCCGCTCCCAAGCCTTCTCCCAGGACGGTCCCGCATCTCCGTCTGGCGTGATCCAGATGCCTAACGGCCGTTCCGGTATGCCCGCTTCCGCCCATTTAAAAGGTACCCTCTCCGCCGACTGCTTCCCTTTGTTCCTTCCGATCGGCATGACCACCGACTTGTCGTTGTTTGTTCGCAGGCCTGACATCCTGCCGAACTGCTCCAGAGCTTCCGCTGCCGACCTCAGTTGCTCCTCTCCTTTCAGTATGAGCGTCGTGTCGTCTGCATACCCTACATATGCTAACTCCGTCGCCCCTTCCTCCTTCACCCCCAGCCCTCTCTTCTTGATCTCCAATCACAACGGCTCGAGCGCGCAAAGGAAGAGATATGGCGCGAGCGGACAGCCTTGCCTCACTCCCCTCTTCATCTCCACCCTCTCCCCGATTGAGCCGTTGATTGCTACTGACGTCCCTGAGCCGTGATGCAGCCCCTCCGTCCATCTCACGAACTCATCCGGTATCCCCAGCTTCCTCATCGTCTCGAACAGGTACGGTCTCGCCACAGTATCGTATGCTTTCTGAAAATCCACCATTAGAAGAAACCAATCTCCCCCCCCCGTTGTCGGCCGCCTCCACCGCATCCGCGACCACCAACACTGCGTCCGCCAAGCTCCTTCATGGGATGAAGCCGTGCTGGTCCTCCGATATCACCAGGTGAAGCTCTTTTTTGAGTCTGTTCGCGAGCACCTTCGCCAACACCTTGTACATCATGCTAAGGAGCGTGATGGGTCGATAGTTCCTTAACTGGTCCATCGGCCCTTGTTGTGCAGCAGTACCGTGACCGCCGTGGACAGGGACTCGTCCAAGAGGCCCGTCCTCTTGAACCTTTTCGAGAACTCTACAAGCGGCCCTCCCAGCAGGTGGTAGCCCGTCCCGGCCCGGCGATTTGCCTCTCCGCGCCTCCTTCACTCCGCCTCTGTCCACGGGGCTCGGAGCCTCGCCGTCGCGTCCCCCGGTAATCTTGTGGCCACTTCTACCGTCCCTCCCTCCTGTCGCTCTGTTCCCGTCTGCTCGCTGAAAGCGTCCCGGAAATGGTTGGAAGCCGCCTTCAGCACCTCTTGCGAACCGTAGAAGCGCTCCCCCTTGTACTGCACCTCCTTGATCACCGTCTTGTTTTTCCTCATCTTGACCTTGGCAGAGAGGTATGGCGACGGGATCTCTCCATGCAGCTCCAGATCCAGACCGGCCAGCGTCTGCAGCCGTTCCCTCTCGCTCTCCTGATAGCCCTCCAGCTGCGCCTCTCTCGCCAGCAACCTCTCCTTTATGTCTGCTTCCGTAAGTCCCGCCATGACCAGGTGGTTTAACCTTGCTACCTCAGCTTCCAAGTGTCTCCTGGTTGCCGTGACCCGCTTCCTCTCCTCCCTTTCGTGTGCCCGCAGGGCCGTGCTGAGCCGTGGGAGGTTGCTTTCAAGAGTCCGGCCGCGCTGCTCCTCCGGCCCCCCATGATCCTTTGAATCACTTCTCTGACTCCCCTTCGGTTCGCCCTTGGCGCATGAAACCTCCAGATCCCCGGTCCGCACGTGTGTGACGACTTGAACGCGAGGCTGACTCGGATAGCGAATCGGTGATCCGACAACTTCTTCGGCACCCAAACATGACAGGCCTCCGTGAGCTGGACGAGCAACGAGGCTGACACGAGTACCCTGTCTATCCTGGACCTGGTGTCGGACGGCCTCGCGTGGAACGTGTATTGCCTCTCTCCTGGGTTAAGCGCTCGAAATGCATCCTTGAGATCGAAAGCCGACCAGGCCTCGAGGAGCCGCTGATTCTCTTTGCCGGACCCCGTGCGTGACGACCTGTCCAACTCCGGGTCTGCTATGATGTTGAGATCCCCTGCAAACACCAGGTGCATCCCCGCTGGCTGGGCCCGAGCGAAGGGGACCAAAAGCTCAACGTGGAACTTCGTCCGACTGCCTGGCTGCGCCAGGAGATATGCCGCTATCAGCCTGAAAGCGGTGTCAAAACCCTCCACAGTCACTCCTAGCAACCTTCCGGTATGATGGGGCATAACCTCCGTGAAGCGTAAGTGCTTCTTGAAAGCCACTATCGCTACCCCTCCTGCACCCTTCTCTGTGCCAGCTACAGCCCTAGCCGTTGGTTTGAGCTCATTCCAGAAGTTGTGGTCTTCCTTAATTCTCGTATCTGAGAGCACTACCACGTCTGCAGCTCTCTTCAACCAGATCCTGTGTGCGGATCCTATCAAGGAACCAGCCTGGCGTAATGGCACTATCAAAGCGCTACGACGAGTGTTACAGGACTATATCTACCCCAACAGAAGGAAGCATTGTCATCAGTCATCAAGGGAGCGTCTTGTGCTCAGCTTCTGCATCTTATCAGCCATCGAGAGGCTGTTTCAGGCTCTTCATTATGTGGAGAAAAGGCCACGTGGAGGGACGGGTTTCTCTTCATCATGTGGCGGTGGCGTTGCTCAGCGAACCAGGAGAAAAGGCCACGTGGAGCGACGGGTTTCTCTCCATTTGGCGCAACCCCAGAACGATCAGGCAGCCTCCGTAAACGCCCCGTGGAGGGGAGACCCAGGTGTAGAACAAAGTTATGTATCCAGGGTAGGTCCTCTCCTGAAACCAGTTACGACTGAGAATGTATGCACTTCCCATAGTGTAAAAAAAAAAAAAAAAAAAATGTGCCACTTCGAAACAGTGGGCGCGTCCCACCCACCTTCACTTGCTTCTCTCTCGACGCTCCGCCTCACCTCCTGTCCTCGGTGCCTCGCCTCGGCCCAGGCCTCGAATTTGTTCACGCCGACAGGCGGGAGAAAGTCTGCTGCGAGCGTGCGCGAGAGATTTGCGTTGCGAGGGAATCTGGACGGCCTGCAACCAGCGCGGCTTGAACAGACCAAATTTGGGCCTGCAAGGCGCGCTTGATTTCAGCGCAGGAGGGCGAAGATCGAGGATGATGGAATTGAGAGCGTGGTGAAAATGCAATACGGTACACCTGAGCTAGGAGATATACAGTAATGCGGTGCCTGCTGAACATTATGCACAATGTCCAAGAGGCTGAACGAGGAAACAATCAATAACACTATTGATAATTGCCACAATAGGAACATAACAAGAACGAATAGTTGTAAATGACACTACCCTTTTACAACTATGATATAGCTTTTACAGGCGTCACTGGAAAGGGCTGAACAATGTGATCAGAAGCATTTACGCCATGCATCCTCATGCTAGGACCTGCCGGTGTGCTTCCTGGAGCAGCAGCAAGCAAACCACGACTATTCATTAACTTGGGTGTAGGAGCTTCTCGAGGCAGCACAGGAAGTGGGGTATTAGGAGCCGAGGCCACGTTACGGGAGAACCAGTCCTTCATCTGCGTCAGGACGTTGCTGGAAGAATCAGAAGAGGCAGCGACACAAGGCATTGAAGCTGCAAGAGAGATCTCCTCGCCGCCCCCTTCGCCCAGTCCTGCCGCACATGCAAGCTTTGCTGTGTTGGAACTCAAGCCAGCATCTGTATGGCTCGGCATATTTCTGCTTAGGCCATCCGCATGTGTTCCTTCCACTGCTGCTGCTTTCCCAGCATCATGCACGCCAAGGACAGCAGCAGCAGAAGGGCGAGCGACGTGCAGTCGGAGGGACTTGAATAGGGAGAGGCGGTGAGACGCCGCTTGCAGCCGACCCTTGCTGCTGCCGCTAACACTACCGCTGAAGGTGATGCTGTCGCTGTTGTTGGCGTTGATACTGCCGGTGCTGCTGCCAGCAACGCTGGTCCGGCTTGCTCTCCAGCTGCCGCCTCCTCCGCCGTTGCAGCTGCTCTCAGAGCTCTCAGAGCTGCTCCGAGCCATGCCAACACTGCCCTGACTGGACACTCTCGACATGTACGACCCCGTTGACTGAGTTGACTGCATTGAATCCGCAGCGTTCCACCCTTGCTGCTGCGTGCCCTCGCCGCTCTCAGACGCGGTCTCAACGGACGATAGCAGCGGGAGGCCTCTGGGCGTCAGCCCTCCCGACCAGTTCGCCTGCCTCGCCTCATTTCGCCCACCGCCGTAACGGACGCCCCCGTTTCGCTGCCTTTCGCTACTCTCCGCCGCCTCTTCGCCGTCACGCTCACCACGAGAGATCTTGAGGTCACGAGAGATCTTGACGAGGACACAGACGCCGAAACTCGCTACACGGAACAGCAGGAGGACACGGACGGCAAATATCGTCATACGGAACAGCTCGAGAAGACGAACTCCGACTATTGCTACACGGAGCAGCACGAGAATACGAATGCCGGCTATACAAGTACACATCAGCGCCGAGAACACGAATGCCGGCTATACAAGTACACATCAGTTTCCGGATCGTCGATTGGCCGTTGCGTGGCGTGCTCATCGCCTCATTACACGCTGGATGCATCCTCCCTATGCGTGTTACCGTGCGAGCGGCATGTACTTTGGATTACAAATTTACGGGTGTAATCTCATTCAGCCGCCATCGCGTGCGACGATCACAATTTTTGTCAGTCTCGTCGCCAAGCTTCATTCAGATTAGGTCAGGTCGCGGCGCCATTCCGCATCGCCACGCATCCTGCTTCTTTCATCGACCAAACAAATTGCCTTCCCTTCCCCCCACCTCCCTTTTTCTCCTGTCGCACCCTGTTTCACCCTGATGCCAGCTGGAAGGCCCGGAGGACGTGAGCGCGCGGTAGGTGCGGCGAGGGCGGGACATTCAGGGGATTCCGTGGGAGCGGCTGCACCTGAGCCGGGAGAAGTACCGCGCGATGCGACTGCAGCAGTACAAGAACTACAAGAACCTCGACGTGTCATTGGATGTTGTTGATAAGGCGCGCGCGGTGTTTATGTGCACGCACATGCGTCATCACGAGAGCAAGTGTCAGGCGTCCTCGATTCTCCCTTTCTTTCATCTCCTCCTCGTTTTGCACCTCTTCTCTTCCTCCGGATTCCCTCCTCCTTCTCCCTCCCCAGCCCCGTTCCCTTCTCACCCCTTCTTCTGCCTGCCTTATCCTGCATCTTGCCTCACCCTCCACCCTCCACGATATGGCCAAGTCACACTTGGCCTCCTCAATTTTCCCCTCTTCTTTCTCCGTACCCTCTTCTTCCTCCTCACCCCTTCCCCTCTCCCTCTCCTCTGGCTCCTTCTTTCCTGCCTTACCCCTCGTCTTGCCTGTCAATTCTCCCAGGAAGTGCAGCAGGTGACGACGGGAAGCAATTTCTACGAGTTCACGCACAACACGCGCGCAGTCAAGTCCACCATCGTGCACTTCCAGCTGCGCAACCTCGTGTGGGCCACGTCAGCGCATGACGCGTACTCGCTGCACCACCACGTCATCAACCACTTCTCGCCGCTCACGTGCAAGTCCACCCCGGTCCTGGACCTCGGAAATTCTCTCGTCGCCAGGCGCCACGCCCTCCCGCACGCCCACACGTCCACAGCAGGCGCGCGGGGCGCAGGGGGCGCGGGGGGCGCGGGGGGTGCAGTAGGCAGGGGGGATCAGTGCAGCGGAGTGCAGCTGGAGCCCTTTGCGAGGGCGATTTACACGGGGGCCATGCCCTCCGCTGGAGGCTCCGCTGCTGCTGGGAGAAGCAACACCAGTGGTAGCGGTACAGAGGAGGGCAGAGCGGTGCAGGGGAGAGAGGCAGGGGGACTGGCGCTTTCTCAACAGCAGCAGCGGTAGCAGCAGGAGGGGGTGTGGGAGGCGGTGGATCGGGTACAAGTGAGCACCATGTGCGCCTGACACGGGCTGCTCGTAGCAGGGGGCTTTCACGGGGAGATGGTCTGCACCAGGCTCGGCACAGGCTCGGAAGCAGACGCAGGCTCGGGGTCGGAAGCTGGAGTGGCGTTCACAGGGCGGGTATCCCGGGATCAGAGTGTCATCACGAACGCCATTGAGATCTTCAGATCTAACAGGTGCGAAGGGAGGGGTTTTGAGGCCCGTCAAAGGTTATCCTGGGATGAGAGTGCCATCACGAGCGCCGTTGAGATCTTCAGATTCAACAGGCCATTCTTGCCATTCTAGCCTCTCCTGTCATCATTTCTTCCATGTGCCTCACCCCTCTCTTGATTTTCTCCACTCTCTTGCTTGTTTCTTGTCTCTCTCGCCCCTCCCACCTTTTGCTCGTCCACAGTGGAGCACTGAGTGTGCTCACGTCCAACAACGACTGTGTGGTGAGGGACTTCGACGTCGCCACCTTCTCCATCCTCTCCCGCCACACCTTCCCCTGGCCCGTCAATGTGAGCCCAGCCTTTCCTTTCCTTCTCTACAAGCAGCCATGGTTGCCTTGTTCTCTGCTCTTCACCGTGTTCCTCATCCACCCTCTCTTATCTCTTATATCTCACCTGTCTCCTCTCACCTCCCATTCTCCACCTCGTCCTCTCCCACGCTCATCAGCACACGGCAGTGGCACCGGACATCACGCTGGTGTCAGTGGTGGGGGATGATCCCGAGGCGTTGCTGCTCGACCTAACCTCTTGGCCACTCCACCCATGCTCTCCCTTTGCCTCCCTCATCACTCCATCCCTTTCCTATCTCGCCCTCCTGCTCACCCCACCCCTGCTTATTCCATCCATGTCGTTCATTCCTAATCGTCGTGCCCTTTCCTGTTCCTTGATCGGTGCATTCCTGAATCTGTTTACCTTTTTCTCGCCCATGCCTACCCACCATCTTTTCTACAAACCCTTACTTGCTTCCATGCTCGGTGCCTGCCTCTCCACCTCCCAACCTCCTTGCCTCTCCCCACTCTCATGTGCCATGCTCAACACATGCCCCTCATCCCCATATCCCACACATCCCCATCCCTGCCTCTCAACCCCCTCGCTGCCCTCACAGGTTGTAGCGCGCATGCAGGGCCACGTGAACTACTCCTTCGCTACAGCCTGGCACCCGGGCGGCAACCTCTTTGCCACGGGCAACCAGGACACCACGTGCCGAGTGTGGGACCGGCGGCGGCTTGACAATTCCCTGTTCACTCTCAAGGGGCGACTTGGGGCCATTCGGTCTCTCAGATTCACTAGTGATGGCAGGTGAGTGTGTGTGGTGGAGGAAGGGGGAAAAAGGGGGGGGGAGGGGGAGGGGGGGGTGTGGAAGAGGGGTGGGATAGGCAATGTCAGGTTCTTGGTTTCGCCTGTTTCACGGCGTGCTTATTCCCATCTGACATGTCACTCCCTGCCTCTCCCTCCCTCCACCCAAGTTGATGGTCATGCCTGAGCCAGCACACGTGGTGACTTCGTGCATGTGTTTGACACGAGCAGCCTCCATCCCTCACTCCATAGTCCCCGTCCCTCACCACATGCTAGCACATGGCATATCAACTCGAAATCCCTCCTTCCCATCCCCCACCCGTTTCTCCCCCAGGTTCATGGCCAGCAAACTTCGTGCATGTTTTTGACACGAACAGCCCCGTATCTCTCTCCTCGCTCCCCTCCTCATCACGTGCATGTTCCTATGTCACAGGCCAACCTGCTCCCCCCCTCCTATCCACTCCCCTTCCGCCTAGGTTCATGGCCATGGCTGAGCCAGCCGACTTCGTGCATGTCTTTGACACGAGCAGCGGGTTTACTCGAGCACAGGAGATTGACATCGTCGGCGAGATTGCGGGGATATCGTTCTCCCCCGATACTGAGGCGCTCTTTATTGGCGTGGCGGACCGCACGTACAGTAGTCTCCTGGAGTACAGCCGCTCACACTCGTACGCCTATCTTGATGCTTGCATTTAAATATTCGCAGAAACGACATTTAAATATGCTTGTTTGGCCGAATTCTCTTCGGCCAAGACGTGTAGCGGATGGATGGTACAAGACCAGATGTGCACATGGAATCTGCAATAGTGCCAGGCGAGCGTTGCAGTTGGGCTCACTGCTTTGAACGATTGAGTTTCTGTATAGAGCATACAATGCCAGGTTGACAATAAAAGGATAATCAAAATATGGATGTGAGCAATGGGCACAATGACCTCTTCTGCGCTAAAAACTAAGCATGCAAGTCGATCCCAAGTGTGGTCTGATAAGTATGGAGATAGTAGATTGCTAACTTCAGAAAAATCAACAATGTTGTAGTGTCAACTCGGTTAAGTGTACAAAAGTAAGTTGTCACGCTACTTGGTTGAGTGCACATGTAAACGGGTATGTGTTTTGTAGCATGCATAACTTTTGTACCGTACCTGCCGAACTTAGTTGTCTGCCGCGTCACGCCAGGTTTTGAGCAATCTGTTACAAGTTACAGACATCACGAAAAAGAACATTCCCGCGCAAACCTTGTCGTCTCACTCATCTGCACTTCGCCAGTCTGGGTTACATTCCTCGCGTCTCGAGGGATTGAAACGCCGCAACCAGCCAAAACTCACCTCCTTCAAAATCAGTGTGGAGAGACTCCCAAGGTCTGTTTGTGGGCAGCCTTCGTAATTTGAATGCTGAACGTACACGAATTAGAAGAATCACGAATGTTTGTCATGGGGTGTTTTTGGGGGTGTTTTGCGTAGGATCGATCTCAGGGAATACATTCAGTTCATCAGGTCTTCTCGGGCACAGCTCGAAATGTTCATCGCGTGATTCACCCAAGAATCCGAATTCGTGAGTTGCGTTGTGTATGTGATGTGTTTGTCGTAAAAGTTCTTGGGCAGCCTTTTCCTCCTCGACTGGTTCATGTACAGTACCGAGTGTTGTCTTGGGGTGCGGGCGGGGGTGTGAGTGCGGAATACTGTGTACATTCACAGTGGGCGTGAACAAATCGGTTATACGACTCACCGCAAATCCCAATTCCCGGGGGGTGTGGGGTGAAGATTGTTGTCAGCCTGGTACTTAGCCTGAATTGTGTTGAAATTCCGCTCGGTGGGAATGTCTGTCCTTGTAAGTTCAAAACAGGGGCATTGTCTTGAAATGTTATCCAAATGTTCACTCCCCTTGAATCCATGGTCTTGAATCTGGAAGGAATCTGACGAACTTCTGCTGCACCCACCTCTTCCCGCCGGAGTCTGCTAGGGTTTGCTCAAGCTGACTCCACACAAGCAGAGAGGAAATCAACCCGCGACATTTAGCGGCGACCATGGCAGGTTAGCGGCTCCTGCTCAGAGCTTGATCGATGCGCGGTTAGTTTTGGTGCTGCAACAGATTAGGATCCGACCCACATGTTCGGTTGTGTTTTCCCGAACCTCTACCTTCAGATCCACTTTCTCCCAAACCTGGGATGAAGCATGAAAACTCAAGCAGTTAAGACAGTCGCTCGGCCGTTCATCCAATCCGGATCGTTTTTATTTCGAAAAATGCGCGGCAAAGAAGATACAGATTGGGATCCGAACCACCACCACTTCTCCCAAACCATGACCCCGTTCAAACATCCTTTCAAGCTCATCCTTGTGATTGAGCCAAACTTGATAGTAGTACAGCAGATGTGGTCATTCTAAGCTTAGCACTCGAAGTCTTCTCTTCTAGCACTCGGAGTTGGAGTCTTCTCTTCCAGCACTACGGGCAACTCCTCCACTGATTCTTGTGGACGCGAACCATCAATGGAGGATGTGCGAAGGCGGTGATGAGCGTGGCATGAAGGCGGATCTGCTCTCGATTCCACCACCGACCGCAACTGGGAAGTCACGTTCCGTTCTTCACGTTGCTTATGCTTTTTTCCGCTTAATGCTGCTTTTTTCTCACATGCACGCCATTCATGCACCGTCCCTCTGATTCAATGATGGTCGCAGCGAGCAGATGATCCTCCGCGGTTTGGGTTTGGGTTTGGGTAGCAGTTAGATCCTCCCTCTGCGAGCTGTGGCCACTCGGAGAATCATGGATGTTTCCAATATTCATTCACTTCATTGTCATTTTTTGCAACCGTTTCGTTTTTTCGGTTTACTCTTGTTTTTTGTTTTCATCGCATCTGTATGTATTGGCCTCTAACTTTTTTTCTTTTGTCTTTTCGCCCATCCCCCAGTGAAGAAGTACTAAGAGATGACGGGGCTGCTGGATCTGAAACGACCACATGGGCTGCCTCAACAAGAAAGGGGCTGTGACGTGGCAAGTTTAATGGTTGCTGGGAGGAGCAATCCTCCATCCGCCACCCGCCTTGTCCTTCAGTTTACTTTAAGGTAAGATTCCGTCTTTGGTTTCGCTACTGCTGCAGACTAATCTCAATTCAGTTTTGGCGTTTCGTTGTATAATATTATGTTTAAGAAGCTTTTTGGCAAGTGTTAACTAAGTGTTGTTGCCTTTTGCAGGGAAATGAGCTGCTGCTGCTGCTGGAACGAAGCTTGAACGGAGCTGCAAACGGGATCAACGGATCTGCAAGCAAAGGAGATCAACAGATCTGCTAGCAAAGGAGATTATCAGTTTTGCAAATGATCAACGGATCTGCGAAGACGATTAACGGATCTGCAAAAGAGATCAATGGATCTGCTAGGACGATCTGCTGGAAGGAAGTGTTGCTGGTGTCATTTCAAAGTAAGTATTTTCTATAATGCTTCATCTCCACACTTGCTGTCTTGCTTGCTTTCGCCTTGTCTTTACGGTATAAACATTTTCTAACTCATATTGGTTATATTGTACAGGAGTCCGAGTCGCCACCTCTGGAGTTGAACGTAGCTCTGCTGGAGTCCAAATAAACTCCATTGTTGCTGCTGAAGTCGAAGACAAGGCACGTGGTGCTGCTGAAGTTGAAGAGAAGGCGATCGAGTTGCTGGAGTTGAAGGGAGGAGCCATCCTCCACTAGCCACCCGCCTTGTCCTCCTCTCTACTAAGGTAAGATTCTGTTTTGGGTCTTGCTACTGCTGCATGTCTAATCTCAATTCAGTTGCATTTCGTTGAACTGTAAGCGCGTTTCTTTGAGATTTTATAGTTCCCCAAGATCTGATCGTGTTTTGTTGCCTCGTGCAGGGAACGAGCTGCTGGAAATGAGGAAAACTGAAGCTTCTCAAGTCGAATTGAAGACATTCCTTGGGGATCCGCCACCCATCCGCCATCGCCATCGCCATCCACCTCCCCGCCATTCACCGGTTCTCCAACTTAAATCCCAAGGTAAGTTATTTTGCTCTAGAGTTCATTTCGTTGAACAGTAAGCGCGTTTCTTTGAGATTTTATAGTTACTCAAGATCTGACCTTGTTTTGTTGCCTCGTGCAGGGAAGGAGCTGCTGGAAATGAGGAAAACTGAAGCTTCTCAAGTCGAATTGAAGACATTCCTTGGGGATCCGCCACCCATCCACCATCGCCATCGCCATCCGCGTCCCCGCCATTCACCGGTTCTCCAACTTAAATCCCAAGGTAAGATATTTTGCACTAGAGTTCATTTCGCTGTCACTTTTGCTATTGCTTCATCTCCGCACCCGCCTTCGTGCTTGCTTTCTTCTTGTCTTTACGATATACCTTGGTGATTTCTAACTTAGTTTGGTGGTGTTGTGCAGGAATCCGAGTCTCCACTTCTGGAGTTGAACGTAGCCCTGCTGGAGTCGAAGTGAACTCCATTGTTGCTGCTGAATTCGCGTGCGTGGTGCTGCTGAAATCGAAGACAGGGCTCGTGGTGCTGCTGATGTCGAAGACAAGTCCCTTGGTGCTGCTGATGTCGAAGACAAGGAGATCGAGTTGCTGGGGTTGAAGGGAGGAGCCCCCTCCACTCGCCACCTGCCTTGTCCTCCTCTCTACTGTTAAGGTAAGATTCTGTTTTGGGTCTTGCTACTGCTGCACGTCTAATCTCAGTTCCGTTGCATTTCCTTGAACAGTAAGCGCGTTTCTTTGAGATTTTATAGTACCTCAAGATCTGATCTTGTTTTGTTGCCTCGTGCAGGGAAGGAGCTGCTGGAAATGAGGAAAACTGAAGCTTCTCAAGTCGAATTGAAGACATTCCTTGGGGATCCGCCACCCATCCGCCATCGCCATCGCCATCCGCCTCCCCGCCATTCACCGGTTCTCCAACTTAAATCCCAAGGTAAGTTATTTTGCGCTAGAGTTCATTTCGTTGTCACTTTTGCTATTGCTTCATCTCCGCACTCGCTTTCGTGCTTGCTTTCTTCTTGTCTTTACGATATACCTTGGTGATTTCTAACTTAGTTTGGTGGTGTTGTGCAGGAATCCGAGTCTCCACTTCTGGAGTTGAACGTAGCCCTGCTGGAGTCGAAGTGAACTCCATTGTTGCTGCTGAATTCGCGTGCGTGGTGCTGCTGAAATCGAAGACAAGGCTCGTGGTGCTGCTGATGTCGAAGACAAGTCCCTTGGTGCTGCTGATGTCGAAGACAAGGAGATCGAGTTGCTGGAGTTGAAGGGAGGAGCCCCCTCCACTTGCCACCCGCCTTGTCCTCCTCTCTTCTTTTAAGGTAAGATTCTGTTTTGGGTCTTGCTACTGCTGCACGTCTAATCTCAGTTCCGTTGCATTTCCTTGAACAGTAAGCGCGTTTCTTTGAGATTTTATAGCTCCCCAAGATCTGATCTTGTTTTGTTGCCTCGTGCAGGGAAGGAGCTGCTGGAAATGAGGAAAACTGAAGCTTCTCAAGTCGAATTGAAGACATTCCTTGGGGATCCGCCACCCATCCGCCATCGCCATCGCCATCCGCCTCCCCGCCATTCACCGGTTCTCCAACTTAAATCCCAAGGTAAGTTATTTTGCGCTAGAGTTCATTTCGTTGTCACTTTTGCTATTGCTTCATCTCCGCACTCGCTTTCGTGCTTGCTTTCTTCTTGTCTTTACGATATACCTTGGTGATTTCTAACTTAGTTTGGTGGTGTTGTGCAGGAATCCGAGTCT